AGAGCACCCCACCATCACTGTCCCTCACCCCAGGTGCGAGCACCCCACCATCACTGTCCCTCACCCCAGGTGAGAGCACCCCACCATCACTGTCCGTCACCCCAGGTGAGAGCACCCCACCATCACTGTCCGTCACCCCAGGTGAGAGCATCCCACCATCACTGTCCCTCACCCCAGGTGAGAACCCCCACCATCACTGTCCGTCACCCCAGGTGAGAACCCCCACCATCACTGTCCGTCACCCCAGGTGAGAGCACCCCCACCATCACTGTCCCTCACCCCAGGTGAGAGCACCCCACCATCACTGTCCGTCACCCCAGGTGGGAGCCCCCCACCATCACTGTCCCTCACCCCAGGTGGGAGCACCCCACCATCACTGTCCGTCACCGCAGGTGGGAGCACCCCACCATCACTGTCCCTCACCCCAGGTGGGAGCACCCCACCATCACTGTCCCTCACCCCAGGTGGGAGCATCCCCACCATCACTGTCCATCATCCCAGGTGGGAGCACCCCTAAAATCACTGTCCCTTATCCCAGGTAGGAGGTACCTCTAACATCACTGTCCCTCCTGGCCAACTGACTGGAAAAGATCTATATTTGCTCCCATTCCAAAGAAAGGTGACCCAACAGAGTGTGGAAATTATAGAACAGTATCACTGATATCACATGCAAGCAATATTCTGCTGAAAATTATCCAAAAACTATTGGAACAGCTCATCAACAGAGAACTGCCAGAAGTGCAGGTTGGGCTTAGAAGGGGCCGTGGTTCTAGGGATATTACAGCTAATGTTAGATGGATCTTGGCTGAAAGCAGGAATACCAGAAAAATGTCTTATCTGTGTTTCATTGACTAAGTAAAGGTGTTTAACTGTGTGGATCATAATAAACTGCGGCTGACTCTCAGAAGGATGGGAATCCCAGAACATTTGATTGTGCTTACGAGAAACCTATACTCAGACCAGGAGGCAGTCATCAGAACAGAGCAAAGAAACTGCATGGTTCAAAATTGGGAAGGGTGTGCGTCAAGACTGTGTTCTATCTTCCTATCTTTTCAATCTATATGCGGAACAGATTATCCCAGAGGCTGAACTCTATCAGGAGAAGTGTGGCCTCAGGATTGGAGGAAGACTCATCAACAATCTGCATTATGCAGATGACACAACCCTGCCTGCTGAAATGGAGGAGGACCCGAAGTGCTTGCTGCAGAAGGTCAAGAACTACATACAGCCTTCAATATGGATTGAAACTCAACATCAAGAAAACAAAGATTCTCATCACTTGGACCAACTGGCAGCATCATGATAGACAGTGAAGAGATTGAGATTATTAACAGCTTTAGTTTGCTTGGCTCCACAATCAACACTTTTGGTACCAGCAGCCAGAAAGTTAAAAGATGGGAAAGTCTGCTGTCAGAGACATCTCCAAGTACTGAAGAGCAACGATGTCAGTCTGGAAACTAAGGTGCACCTGATACAGGCCATGTTGTCGTTGTTGTTATGTGCCGTCAAGTCGTTTGCGACTCATAGCGACCCTATGTACAACAGCCCTAAACCATGCTCTATCCTGTGCCAATCGCATTGTCTCTGACACACCCATCCCGAGTGCCCCAGTCACTGAATCAATCCACCTCATAGAGGGTCTTCCCCTCCTGCGCTGTCCCTCTACTCTACCCAGCATGATGTCCCTCTCTAAAGATCTGTCTCTCCTTACAACATGTCCAAAGTATGTCAGACGAAGCCCCAGAATCCTTGCCTCCAAGGAGCAGCCTGGTTTAATCCTCTCCAATGAATCTGTTTGTTTTCTTGGCAGTCCATGGTACATTCAATACTCTTCTCCAGCACCACAGCTCAAAGGCGTCAATTCTCCTTCTATCCTCCCTAGTCATAGTCTTTGCAATTACTTGCTATGCGAATATACTGCTAAGAGAACAAACAGGTTTGTCCTGGAGAGGGTGAGACCGGGCTGCCCCTTGAAGGCAAGGATTCTGAGGCTTCATCTGACATACTTGGACATGTTGCAAGGTGGGATCAGTCCTTGAGATGGACGTCATGATTAGGAGGGTGGAGGGACAGTGCAAGAGAGACCTTCGATAAGATGGATGGATTCTGTCACTGGGGTAATGAGGCACTTCGAGTCACTGGACAGCACATAACAACAACAAACATCCCGGGTGGGAGCACCCCCACCAACACTGTCCCTCACCCCAGATGGGAGCACCTCCCCACCATCACTGTCCCTCACTGGAGATGTGAGGCCTTGGCAGGCCCACATCAAGTGACACTCTGGTCAGCTCCCCAGGCCTCCATCAGCTAAAATCTACTCTCCTGGTATTTTTCCATCCTCCTCCTCAAACTCCAAGCCCAGGGTCCCACGCTTGCAAGGTTCCGACTTCAGTCACTTGGGCCTGAGAAGCTGGGCTTTGCTGCCCCACAACCAGAAAGCAGGGCGTCATACAGAACAGTCCTGGCCCCTGAGGTGCTCAAGTGTTCCTGACCGCCCATTCCAGTGAAGACTGCCACAAATCCTCCTCAGGGCACAGCTCTGCACCCCACAAGTGGGAGTTCCACTGCAGGAGTAACGGGGGGGGGGGGGGGGGGGGGGGGGGGGGGAGAGACACAAGAGCCAGCAACCTCGCCGTCCCCTTGCTGGAGAGGACATGTCCCCTCCCCTTAGACCACGGCCTCACCTTCCACCAGCTCAGACCCTACCACTCTGCAATGCAAACAATGCGTAAGTTTGTTTTCTACTATTAAGATTTCCATACCCACCATTCATCATTTGGCTAATTAAGTTTCACACATTCTAGTGGGAGGTCTCCAAAGGGATCGGAAATGCTACTTCATTCATGTCCCTGCATGTATTTTATTGATTCAAGGGCTGTGAACCAGGACTGCCTCTCTGTGGCCTGGGCTCTGGACTCTGTCCCAGGGTGTGGTCGGGATCTGGACGCTGTGCCAGGTTCCACTCTGTCCACAGCAGCCCAGCCAGTCCCAGATGACAGCCACCTGCCAGACACCTGGGCCCCAAACACAGGGTCCAGGCTCAGCCCTAAGTGAGCCCTGGACGCTCCCTCGTCCCCTCTGTACAATGGCTCCAGGCCTAGGCCTGGGTGAGTCCTGGACACTCCCTCGTCCCCTCTGCACCGTCGCCATGCCGCCCCCTCTGCTCAGGAGTGTAAACTCCTAGCCTCACTCAGATGGACAAGAGACGAGCAGTGTGGACTTCACATGGACAGCACTTTAATCTCGAACAAACACCAAACCCACCGCTGTTGAGTCAATTCTGGCCTGTGGTCCTCAGGTTAGATCTCCTGGTTTTCCAAGGACATAGACCTTTACAGGAGGCTGGGGCCTCATCTTCTTCCTGAAGCAGCTAGGGGGCTCGAACCTCTAACCTCTGGCTAACAACCTAACCTGTAACCCACTACCCCATGAGGGCTCCTTACAGTGCACGGATGCTGACGGGGCTCGAGACATGAGCGGCAGTGTTCATCCCCAGCCTCAAACACGTGGTCCAGTCACAGGACATCCCGCTGACTCGGTGTCCCCACCCGGGGACAATCTAAGAACACATCCCAGAGAGCTGCTGTCAGAGGCGTTATCTGAGAAGAGCCGTTTAAAGCACGATCAAAAGAATGCCCACTGCTTCCAATCTGACCCTACCAGGCAGAGCAGAAACTGACCATAGTGTCACTAGGGGGCAAATCTTTACAGGAGCAGTGGCCACAATCTTCTTCCACAGAGCAGCCGGCGGGTTCAAACCACCGACCTGTGAGTTCTTAGCCACTGTGCCACCAGGTTCCTAAGCCTCGGATGGTGTTGAAGAAATGCTCACAAGGATGGGGACACTTGAGTCTCATGTATTTTGGGCCTGTTGCCAGAAGAGGCTATTACCTGAAAAAAGACATCAAGTTGGAAAGAGTTGAGAGTCAGCAAAGGAGAGAAACCACCTCAGTGAGATGGAAAGGCACTGCTGGAGCTTAGGAGAGATGGGGTGGATGGCACTGGACAGGGCGAGGCTTGGAGCTGTTGGTCATGGGGTCTTGATGCACTGTGGTCAACAGGATAGAGCCTACCAACAACAACACGGTCACTCTCAGGATCAGATCTGGACATCACAATCACCCCTCACAGAAGGAGGACAGAGGGGAAGCTGTCAACACGAGTACTCTCGCTCATTCTTCTCCAACACCACAGTTCAAGGCATCGAATCTTCTGCCATCCTTATTCACTCTCCTACTCTCAGCTGCACAAGTAACTAAAAAGACCATGGCTTGAATCAGGTGTACCTTAGTCTTTAA